AGGGAAATTTCCATCTAACTGCAGCACTGACCACTTGTCTAGGTGTGTTATGCTTTCTTAGGACATGAACAGATGTTAACATTTATGCTGGTACAGTCATCACTATGCCAATGTGAAAAAATGGAGGACAGAGCATGCAGACTCTTAAACTGGGGTAACTTTATTTATGGAACATTACAGTGCTGGTGCATATGTTGTCTGTCCATGTCCATAGTTTGCCATTTGATAAAAGCAAAGATGCTATTACCTGACTCCCCACCGGCTAACAGTGAGTCACAGGAGGGTTGCCAAAAGTGTGAACAGTCCTGTGATAGCTGCATGTCTGTCTATTCCTGATCCTGGAGTCATTTTCATTGGTATGCAGACTGATGTAAATGACACCGAGCCACGTGTGTGTCTGTTGAGGTCCTTGCTCTGCTTTTCCAAGGCATGTTTTTTCAGTTTGCTTGCATCAGGAGTTGGACTAGCTGGGCCCGTCACCTCCTCCAGTACTGTACATTGTCTAGATTCCTATAGCACAGATAAAAAATCTAGATTGAAGGAAATCATGTGTTTTCCCAGAGTTGATCTGATGTGATGTAAAAACCATTCTTGCATTCACTTTTTTATTCCTAGTTTAAAGATGCGTACTAAAAATATAATACAATCCCAATTTTCCATTTTTCTTTTTCATTGGGACAGCAGGCTTTTTGATAAGTGGGAAAGAAGCGTTTAGTTTTGTATGGCTCTCCTGAGTCCTGACTGATATTTGGTGAACAAGGAGTTTTACTTACTGAGACCAAATGAAGTCATACTGTATAGAATAGCCTCAAAAGATAGAGTGGATAATAAACATTGGGTTTGCTGTGGATCGTTAGAAAATATTCAGTAAGTTCATTCCAAATTTTGTATCCAGTTGTTTCAACCCCTGAGAGACCTGTGACAATATGACAGAAAAGTGTCAAGAGGAATTAAAGACATGGCAGAAATCTATAAAATGAGCAGAAGTTGGTGGAATATAATTACTGGGAAGAAATCTTTATTCTTTGAACAAGTCACTAAAAAGTCGTAAAAACTGTCTTCTAGCCACATCACAATTAAGGTTATGTATTGATAATGGAAGTTTGAAAAAAAAAAGTGGTGTCACTCTACCTCAAATCTGAATTGAATTTACTTGAAAACAAATATGTTGTGAGCCAAATCCTCAGCTGGTATAAATCAGATTATAAAAAGATACCACTAGTGAAATAAAAAGATACTTCTATTGACTTATACCTGTTAAGGAATGGATTCTTTGCTTTTTGGTCATGGTAACCTATCTTTAAATTAGACACTACTTGCTAGCAATGTGGCTAGTTGTTTATTTCAAAACCCTTTTAGGCAAAAGAGTTAATGTGGTTTTTGCTAACAACAGAAACTGGAAACTCAGATGTGGAATCATTTCCACACTGTAATATTCACTTCATTTGAACAAGTGTATTCATTTGGGAAAACTGAAAAGAGGGTCTCTCTCAAATTATGCCGTAAAACTAGAATAGATAGAAAGTATGGAAAGAAAAATTGCACAAAGTCAACAATAAAGTCGCTCCACAAAATTGACCATTCACCTGCAAATGCTTCCAGCTACCAAAGAGAATAGAAAGGGTGAGTGGCAAATACATTTCTTCCAGGCAGTAACATGAATGTGTTTATTACAGTGGAGAGAGAAAAGTAATTGGCAGCTTCACAATTTTTAAAACAAACCAAGTCTAGGATACTTAGAGTGAAGGTTACCACTTCTTTTGTATTGCTCAGTCTGGTAGGAAAAATAGCTAGTTTTGTGGATTTTCTTCCAGTTCTTAGTTAACACAAAAATCAAAATAGGTAAAGGTTACATAGAGCATAAATCCATTTCATTTTGCAACAGTTTCCTTGGTGTTCTCTGTGAGCCCAACTGATTCAGCTCTTGTCTCTTATCACAAATTTGGCATTGATATCCCAAATCCATGACTTGTCTTGTGAACTGATACTTAGCCGTACATATTGAGCTCAGACCTGCTCACCTGGAAATCAAATGGAAGTCTGCACATTGTTTTCATGGAAGAAGGACTGAGCCCACTCTACTTTCCAGAATTTTTTTTTAAATCTTCTACCATAATGGTCCCTCAGTATTGTGGGATCCCATGTATTGTGAATTGTACTGATTATGATGCTGTCAGCATTGTAATTTTCCCCCTATTTGATTTTAATGCATTTGGATACATCTTTGTTAAGTTGGGGAGTAATTAAGGTCATGTGTGTGGCTTCAAGGGAAAATGGATCTGTAATCCAGGTGGTACGCAGATGGTACCCCCTCTCCAATTGAAGGGATGTCAGTGGATGCTGTGGGAATGTGACTGCCTATCTGCAGGCCAGCTCGCCTCCTTGCCTTACAGAGCAGAGCAAAGACCAAGGACACCCAGTGAACTTAACTATTTACAATTTAATTGTACAGTATAATATAAAACTTATAAACATAAATGTATACACATATATACATATACACGTGTTATTTACAAATACAG